ACTACTACTACTACTACTACTACTACTACTACTACTACTACTACTATTATTACTACTGCTACGATTACTACTACTACTACTACTACTACTACTACTACTACTACTACTACTATTACTACTACTACTACTACTACTACTACTACTGCCACAACCACCACCACCACCATTACTACTACTACTTCTACTTCTACTTCTACTACTACTACTACTACTACTACTACTACTACTACTACTACTACTACTACTACCACCACTTTACTATTAGTATTACTACCACGACCACGAGTACCCCATTATTATTCGTACTATTACGACTACTACTACTATTTTTATTATTACTACGACTACCTCTTGTACTACTACTTGTACTACTACTACTACTACTACTACTACTACTACTACTACTACTACGACTACTAGTACCACTACCACTACTACTACGACTACAAAAACTACTAATACGACCACTACAAATTATACTGCTACTACTACTACTACTACTACTACTACTACTACTCTACTACACTACTACTACTACTACTACTACTACTACTACTACTACTACTACTACTACTACTATACTATTACTACTACTACTACTACTACTACTACTACTACTACTACTACTACTACTACTACTACTACTACTACTACTACTACTACTACTACTACTACTACTACTACTACTACTACTACTACTATTACTACTACTACTACTACTACCTACTACTACTACTACTACTACTACTACTACTACTACTACTACTACTACTACTACTACTACTACTACTACTACTACTACTACTACTACTACCACTACTAATACGACTGCTACTACGACTATTATTACGACTGCTGTTTTTACTACTATTATTATTTCTAATTTCACGACGCTTACCCCTAGCGGCCGCAACAGCTGCGATCTTGGCCCTTAGTTGTACTAGCACTGTTTCTTATGTTGCGGGAGGGCGTGTGGGAAGGGGCACGCCATGAGTGTCTCGCTCGAGCTGATTAAGTTGACGCCTACTCCTACTCCTGATCCTCCATCGCCTCATCCTGCTCCCCAATCCCTCTTCCTGATAATAATTAAGTCCTCCCTGTCGCACGCCGAGGTTCGAAAGGGCGGGCCGGGCGTTTGGCCTGACACTTCCTCACCACCCACGATCCTTAAGATTAATAACTGCAAGAGCTTCACGGATGGAGGGCGGGTGGTTTTCAAAATGTGGCTCTCGTTTTCAAAATTCGCAAGGGCTTCACGGATGGAGCGCGGGCCGTTTTCAAAATGTTGTTCTCGCTCTAGCGCCGCGCACATTTGATCTCAAGATGTGCAAGATTTTGACGGATGGAGGGAAACGCCGCGCACATTCGTTTTTTTTTAATTGCTAGAGATTCACGGTTGGAGGGCGGCCGCTTTCAAAATGTGAAACCTCGCTTTAGCGCCGCGCACACGCCTTTTAGCAACTTGCAGGAGTTTCACGGATTGCGGGCGGTTTGTTTTCAAAACGTAGTTCTCGCCTCAGCGCCGCGCACGCTCGTTTGAAGAATTCGCAGCAGTCTCAAGGGTTATCATGGCTAGTGTCCCCGAAGTGGTGTCAGGGCGCAGCAGTCATGTTGATTTGTGGTGCTGAAGTCACTGGAAAGGCTTTCTGGTACGATTCTGGATCGCCAAGACGCAACATTGACGGTGATTCGCGGCGCTGAGGTTTCAGGAATGGTGCTCTGGCACAGATCCAGATTTTCAAATTGTTGTCTTACAACGAGGCATATTCCTCGCGACGGTGAACCTTTGTAGGAACCTGTGAATATGGAATTTTGAGGGATGGTTTATGGCAGTTCCGTTAATGAGTCTTGGGTTCTCAGACGCCCTCCTCCTGCTCCTTCTCCTCCGCCTCCTCCCCTCCTCCTCCGCCCCTCCTCCCCTCCTCCTCCTCCTCCTCCTCCTCCTCCTCCTCCTCCTCCTCGTCCTCCTCCTCCTCCTCCTCCTCCTCCTTCCTCCCCTCCTCCTCCTCCTCCTCCTCCTCCTCCTCCTCCTCCTCCTCCTCCTCCTCCTCCTCCTCCTCCTCCTCCATTCCTTTTCATTATAAATGATTTCTCCTTGTCGCAAGATTATGGCACGGTTCTGGATCGCCAAGACGCAGCAGTCAGGTTTTCCCTACGCTGGCTCTGCCTAGAGGGTTCTTACTCTCTTTCTTAAAGGGGCCGGGCAGTGCACACCGCCCCGGGCGGTTCCCCCAGTATCCGCCCCGCGGTTCCCCCAGTTACGTCCTTTTAGCTTAGCGTTGTTTACATCATCTTAGTTTAGCTTATTTAATATTAGCTTAGCTTCATACTAGCTCAGGTTTATCTTAGCTTAGCTTACCTTCATCTTAGCCTCGATGAGCTTAGCATGGGTGTAATTCCTTACCTAGGCTCTGCCTAGAGGGTTAGCTTAGCTTAGCTTAGCACAGCGCTGCATTAGCATAGCATAGCATAACATAGCCAAGCATAGCATAGCATAGCATAGCATAGCATAGCGCAGCATAGCATGGCATAGCATAGCATAGAATTGCATAGAATTGCATAGCATAGTATCGCGCAGCTTAGTATAGTATAGCACAGCATAGCTTAGCATAGCACAGCGCAGCATGGCACAGCACAGCATAGCATAGCATAGCATAGCACAGCACAGCACAGCATAGCATAGCATAGCATAGCATAGCATAGCATAGCGCAGCATAGCATGGCATGGTATAGCATAGCATAGCATAGCAATTAATGCTGGTTTCCTAGGGGGGAGGGGGGGCAACTTCTAGGTAGGGTCGCACTGGGGTAATTCCGTGGCGTCGAGATCCCGAAAACAATGTTTTGGCATGCTTAAGATCTTCAACGGTTGTCTTCCAACGAGGCAGTTCCCTCAATGAAAATGAACCGTTGTAGGAGCCTATGAAGAGGGATCTTGGAAGGAGGGTTAACTCCAACATCGTTGATGACTATTGGGTTTACACTGGTCCTCCTCCTCCATTTCCTCCTCCTCCTCATCATCCTCCTCATCCTCATCCTCATCCTCCTCCTCCTCTTCCCCCCCCTACCCCTCCGCCTCCCTTCCTCCCCCCCTCCCCCCTCCCCCCCTCCCTTCCCCTTTCTTTCCCCCCTCATCCTCATCATCATCTTCCTCCTCCACCTTTTCCCCGCTCCTCGTCCTCCTCCCGCTCCTCCTCCTCCGCCTCCTCCTCCTCCTCTTCCTCCTCCTCCTCCTCCTCATCATCATCATCATCCTCCTCATCCTCCTCATCCTCCTCAATTTTCCTCGGCCTCCCCCCCCACCCGCGCGGAGAGGAGCCCCCGGCGGTCCGTTTCGACTTTTTCGTCGGCAGGAGCGCCAAGGCGGCGCCGGCAGCCCCTGCTCGAAGCGGAGGAGGAGGAGGAGGAGGAGGAGGAGGAGGAGGAGGAGGATATGGGGGAACGAGCAGTAGGAGGAACGGGGACGTTGAGGAGGAAGGACGAGAGGTAGCGAGAAAGGAGCGGGGAAAGGAAGAGGAGGAGCGAGCATGCAGGGGACGGAGGAGGAGGAGGAGAGAGGTAACGTGTGGAGGGCGAGCGGAGCATGCTCCCCTCTCCCCTCTCTGCCCTTCTCGCCTCACCTCTCCTTCCTTCCCCTGCCCTGGCCCTCCTTTCCCCTCCCGCCTTCCTCCTACTCCTCCAGGAGAGAGGCTGCCCCCCCCCCCCCCCGCCCTCTCACGCCCAGGGATTTGGAAGGCTGGGCTCGCTGCCGCGTCGCGGATACCAGCGATGTCCCCCCCCCATTCCTCCTCCCCTCGTCTCCTCCTTCCTTCCTTCCCCCCCCCTTCTTTCCCCACCCCATCATCCCCTTCGGGGCTCGACGTTTTCGGGCGCGTCCGTCGCTTCTCGGCGGCTTTCTGGCCTTGGGACGCGTTCCAGCAGCTGCTCCCCGCCGCGAGCGTCCCGGGGGTGCCAGACTGGTCCCGAACGGTCCCCCTTCCCTTGCCGAGAGAACAGGGGGGGGGAGGAGGGACGGACCGGCCCCGCAGGCTGGCACGGCCGAGGTGTGGACGCTGGAGATCTGCGAGCTGGGCTTCAGCATGCTGTGCGCCGAGAAGCTGCCCGACAAGGTGTTCAAGGCCCACCGCTCCGCCCCCCCCAGCCTCGCACGCCTCCCCTCCCCGTCCCGTCCCCTTGTCCCCCACCCTTTCCCATCCCTCTCCGATTCCTCCCCTCCCCGCCCCCCCATCCCGCCCCCTTCCCCCTGTCCCCTCCCCCCCCCCTTTCCGCCCCCCTCCGCTTCCTCCCCGTCTCCTTCCCGTCCCTTTCTTTCGCTAAGCCTGGAGCACAGCACATAGTTGACAATTTGAACATGCCACGATTGAAATACAGAGCTGGTCGGTCAACGAAGTGGAGATAGCCAGCGACGACAAAATTGCTGCTACAAACTACGATTTCGAATGATTTTCGTCACGGCCAGCGCCGCCTCTTCCAGAGCCAGAGCTTCAGCACTGAGCGAAGAAATCGGTGTGGCCAAAATGTTCCCTTTGACCATCACGTTCACTGTGGCTTCGTATTGCCCACGTCGCACCACGGCTTCGATGCACCGCGCTGCAGCTGAACACGAGCTCGCCCTTGTGCCGGCATCGGTGTGGATGATGGGATCGCACCGTTCCAAATCTGCTGGACCAAATGGAAAGACTCTGGTACCACGATGTTGTCTCGCCCATGCTGAACTGCACGAGGGGGTCTTCCCGTCCCCTCCCCCCCTCCCTCCGGCTCCCCTCCCTCCCCCACTCCCGCCCCCCCCCCTTCCCCTCCCTCCGCCTCCCCTCCCTCCCCCTTGTCTCCTTCATGTCCCCTTCACCCGCCCCCCTCTTGCGCTTCTCATCCCTCCCTTCCGCTCCGCCGCCCCCCCCGCCTCCTCCACTTCTCCCCCCCTGCACCGAGGGCCTGCGCCGGCTCCCAGCCAAGCTGCGCGAGGACGGACCAACACCCGCTCCTCCTCCCCCCTCCTTTCGTTATTCCTCTCTCCCCTCCCTGGTTCTTGGTGGCTGCAAGGTTCTTCGATGTCCCCTCCTCCGCCTCCTCCTGCTCCTCCGCCTCCTCCTCCTCCATCCTCCTCTCCTCCTCCGATCCTCCTCCTCCTCCTCCTCCTCCTCCTCCTCCTCCTCCTCCTCCTCCTCCTCCTCCTCCTCCTCCTCCTCCTCCTCCTCGTTCCTGAGGCAAGAGGGTCGAAGCCTATGCAGGGATAAGGGCGAGATAGAGCAGGATGGAAACAGAGGCGACGAGGAACCCAAGAGACACCCCAGAGACCCCAGAACCAGAACACGAGCCCGCCAACGCACCCCCCCAAGAGGGGAGAAACAAGGAGGAAGAGAGAAAGAGCAGGAAGGGAGGGAGGCCGCAGGGGGGGAGCGTAGGCAGGAACCCGACGACCCCAGGACACCAAGGACCCCCAAAGGCCCAGCCGCGGAACCCCCCAGGACCACCAGCAATTCGAGCCGCGTCCAGCGCACCCAAGAGCTACAGCGCAGCTGCGTTCCCGGCTCAACTCACCCGCCCACGGCCCACTTGCTACAAGCACTCACGAGTAACTCAGAATACGCCTGGGTCAGACAGGCATTGTTTCACTCCAGCTGGCATGCACGTAGAAGTCGACGCAACAGCTATAGACCCGTTGAAGATGAGGAATGCGAATGGGCAGCACGAGAAACCGGCGTCGCACCAGCCTCCTGAAATGCAGCAGTCTCCGACCAATGGCGTGAAATCAGCCGGGCCTTGACTGAGGCTCTTTGGACTGCCTTCAAACGAACCTGCATGTGCTCGAAAGCTGGATTTGCAGCAGCCGACTCGCTCTGGGAAGAAGCCCTGACCGCGCCAATGGCCGAGATGGCCTTGGTCTCCTCTTCTTTGAAACGCGCCAACACGGTCGTTATGTCAAAAAGCGTCGCCTGGATCAGATCAGTTGGGAGGGCACTCGCAGCTAAGGAGAACAAGAACTGGACCTGGCCCTCGGCCGCGTGAACTCTCTGACGAAAATCGGACATGACTAGGAACGGCTCTGCAGATTCATGAGCGCCGCTCGGCGCCGCAGCAGGCTGGGCAGCTGTGCTCTCCTCTTCGCCAAATTCGACATGAACACTCTGCTTTACAACAGGGCCGGAAGCAATGCACTCCTCCTCTGTCAACACGTGGGCGCCGCTTTTCTCCTCCGGAAACGGGGGAGCAGCGCACTTCCACTTCTCCTCTGCAAGAATGGCCTGACCAACGTCATCACCCACATCTTGGCCTTCTCCGCATTCTCCTGGTCCAGGCGCACCGGTCCGGCGGAGAGCCTCCTCCAAGGCAGCTCCGATCCGAGTGCGATTGCAACCGCGATGCGACAGCGCCGAAAATTCTCTCAAGAGCTGTTGGGCAGCGCGCGCAGAGGCACGGGCGGCCTGCGCACGGCGTGCAGCCGCAGTGCGCCGGGGGCGCCCCGCCGCAAACCGTAGCGGCGCCATGAGCACGAGTCGGAAGGCGGGGGAAAGGAAGCAGGGAAGCAGGGGGCAGCGTCCGAAGAGGACGCCTGTCGCCGGCTCGCGACCTCCCGGGGGGGCGACCTGAGCCCGCGCTGCCCTCCTCCTCCTCCTCCGCCTCCTCCTCCTCCTCCTCCTCCTCCTCCTCCTCCTTCTCCTCCTCCTCCTCCTTCTCCTTCTCCTTCTCCTCCTCCTCCTCCTCCTCCTCCTCCTCCTCCGCCGACCCTCCTCTTTCTCATTATCCACATCCTGCTCCTCCGCCTCCTCCTCCTCCTTCTCATCATCATCATCATCATCATCATCATCATCATCATCATCACCATCATCATCATCACCATCATCATCATCATCACCATCATCAGCAGCAGCAGCATCAGCGTCATCGTTGTCAGTATGATAATCCGCGTTCCCAGCATCAACAATAGCAACAACAATAACAACAACAGCATCAACGTCATCGTCATCATCATCATCATCATCATCATCATCATCATCGTCGTCGTCGTCGTCGGCGGCGGCGTCATCGTCATCATCATCAGCATCATCACCACCAACATCATCATCATCATCATCATCATCACAATCATCATCAGCATCATCATCCTCATCATCATATCACCATCACCATGGTCAGCATCATCATCATCATCATCATCAGCATCATCATCATCATCATCATCATCACAAGCATCACCATGGTCGTCATCATCAGCATTACCATGATCATCACCAGCATCATCATAATCATTGACATCAGCATCATCATTACCATCACCATCACCATCACCACTTCTATCATCAGCATCATCAGCAGCAGCATCGTCGTTATCAGAAGCATCATCGACACATCATTACCACCACCACCGTCTGCATCATCATCAGCATCATCATCAGCATCATCATTAGCATCATCATCAGCAGCAGCATCATCAGCATCAGCATCAGCAGCATCCTCCTCAGCATCATCATCGGAAGCATCATCCTCATCACCACCACCACCACCACCAGCCTTATCCTCATCCTCATCCTCATCGTCGTCATCGTCGTCACCGTCACCGCCACCGCCACCGCCCACTCCCGGAGGCGATGATGCGCAGCTGCATCGGCGGCGTGGAGGCCGAGACGCGCCTGCGCCAGGAGGCGCCCGCCGTGGAGGCGGCAGGCTCCCCCGGCGGGGCTCCGGCGGGCCGGCAGCTCCAGCTGGGAGGGCCGCCAGAAGGCGCGGCGCCCAGGAGGTTTTTCGGATGGCCTCGTCGGTTCCTGCGAGGCTTCCCGCCTCGGGATCGCTGCCGCGTCGTGGTTTGCCAGCACCCCCCCCCCCAGTCCTCACCTCGTCCCCTCCCTCCTTCCCCCCCCCCGCTGCCCCTCATCCCCTCATCCCCTTCGGTGCTCGAGGTTTTCGGGCGCTTTCGTCGTTTCTCGGCGGCGTTCCCGCTTCGGGGATCCGTTCTGGCAGCTGCGCCGCACCGAGGGCGCTCCAGGGGTGCCCAGATCGTCCCGAACGGCCGCCAGAGAGCCGAGCGATGACTCGAAAGCCAGACACGCAGCGCCTTGACAAAAAACAGGACGGAAGGCTTTTCGCTGTTCTCGGCCTTTGGGGGCACTTGCCAGGCGCCCAGGGACCGTCAAAACACGGCTCAGGATAAGAAAACGGTCCTGGAGAATGAGGCGGGATTTCCCAGGACCGCGTATTGAACAGATCCAGACATCGCCGCATGCTGGGGTAGGGAGCCTTCTCAGAAGCCGCGAGGCCCTTCTGAGAAGGCCCCCGCCTTCTAAGAGCCCCCTCGCCTTCTCAGAAGCCCACCCCCCTGCGCCACCCCCTTTTGTGGGTCCCACCAACAAACGGCGCGGTGACCACCCCGTGTGGTAAGTCGGTGGGGAGTCCAGGTTTTCGAGCGTTTTCGCAAGGTTCTGGCTGTTTTCCTGCCTCGGGGATGCGTTCCAGCAGCTGCGCCTCGCCGAAAGAGTCCCAGGGTGGCCAGGATCGTCCCGAACGGCCGCTTGAGAGCCGAGCTATGATCCGAGACCGAGGATGCAACGATAGAGGGACCCCCAAGTTTTCTCGTCACGAAAAATTCAGACGGGCGACGATTGCCAGTTTCGGCACCCAGGGGCCCTCACCAGTCCCCAGTAGACTATCAGAAAACAACGCGGGACGAAGAGCCGACTCAGGGGAAGGGGTCTGGCCGGGGGCCGACGCGACAAGTCCACGACGTCGGAGATTTGGGGAAAATCGGCGGGGATTCGCCTCCTCCTCCTCCTCCAGCATCGAGGAAGCGCAAACTTTGGTTCGGGCGGGCGGGTTAGCGACGGATCCCTTTCCCGTTCAGGTTCGACTAGGTTGGGGCCCTCGGCGGCGGTCTTCAGGTATCTGAAGCCTGAGAAGTCGAGAACTGCAAAATCTTCCAAACATCTAAGAAACACCCATGTTCGTTCCCTCAGGAGGCTCCTCTTTGGGGTCCTCTTGGAGCCCTCTTGGGCCGTCGTCAGGGCCTCTCGGGCCATCTTAGAGCCGTCCTGGGCAATCTTCAAACCCTCCAGAGCGGCCTCGAGGCCCCTCTTGACGCTCACGAAGCCCAAGAAGCCAAAATTACGGGCTCCCTCAAGTTGTTGTACGTTGACGAACCAAGAAAGGGTCAAGCACCTTTGGTCCATGTTGGGGCGTGGTTCGGTCAGGGGGTCAGGGAGCGCACATCAGAATCAAAAGAAGCGCAGCATGATGTGGTGAGAGTGAGGGGGCGAACGATCATTCACTGGCTCTGGGTGCGTGGCTGAAGTGCCGTTTCGCGGTGCGGATTGATGTTGCTTTGTTGTTGTTGCTGTTGTTGTTGTTGCTGCTGCTGTTGTTGCTGTTGTTGTTGCGATTGATGTTGTTGTTGGTGGTGATGTTGGTGATGGTGGTGTTGCTGTTGTTGTAAAAAGAGGGAGGGAGGGAAGAGGAGGAGCAGGAGCAGGAGCAGGAGCAGAAGCAGGAACAGGAGGAGGAGGAGGAGGAGGAGGAGGAGGAGGAGGGAGGATGACTAGGAGGAGGACGGAGGAGTAGGAGTAGGAGGGGAAGGAGGAGGAGCAGCAGCAGCAGCAGGAGGGAGGAGGAGGAGGAGGAGGAAGAGGAGGAGGAGGAGGGATGAAGGGGAGAGGAGGAGGAGGAAGGATGAGGAGGGAGGGAGGAAGGGACTGAGGAGAGGAGACGAGAGGTAGGGAGGCAGGAGGAGGTCGGTAGGAGAGGAGGAGGAGGAGGAGGTAGAGGAGGAGGAGGGAGGGAGGGAGGGGGAGGAGTGAGGAGGGAGGAGCAGGGAGGAGGGAGGAGGAGGAGGAGGGAGGAGCAGGGAGGAGGAGGAGGAGAAGGATCAGGGAGGAGGAGGGAGGAGGAGGAGGAGGAGGAGGAGGGAGGAGGAGGAGAAGAGAAAGAAGAAGAAGCAGTGTTTGAGGACACAAAGAAAATTCACATACACACAACAAAACAAAACAGAGCAAACAAAAAAAATAACAAACACGCACACACACACACACACACACACCAGAACACACACACACACACACCAGAACACACACACACACACACACACAACACACACACACAACACACACACTGAACAACAAAAAAAGAAAAAACGCGCAGCTGCCCGATGGGGGGCGGTTGCTAGGCCGTTCCGCTCCGCTCCGCTCCTTCGAGCGGCGCGTCGCCCGGGGGCGCCCTCCCGGCAGACCCCGACAGGCGCCGAAGGCCTCGCGGAGGCGGTCCTCGACGCGAAGAAGGAGGCCCTCCCGGCGGAGGGGCCGCCAAGGGAATCCCGCCGGCACCAGGGGCGGCATCGGCTCCTCCTCCTCCTCCTTCCTCCTCACTCCTCGTTCCTCGCTTCTGCTTTCCTCCTCTCTCCTGCCTCCCTCCTCTCTCCTCCTCCCCCATCCTGCTCCTCATCCTCCTCCTCGTCATCATCAATATCAGCAGCAGCATCAGAATCATGAGCATCATCATCGTCATTATCGTCATCATGATCCTCATCCTCATCCTCATCGGCACCCTCACAATCATCAGCACCACCATCATGATGAAAAACATCTTGATCATCATTATCACCACAATGACCATCATCGTCATCGCCACCACTATCATCATCACTGTCACCAACAGCATCAACATCATCATAAGCATCAGCATAATAGGCATCATCTTTAGTATTAGCATCCTCATCCTCGTTACCATCATCACCATCATCGACAGAATCAGCATCATCATCATTATCAGCAGCAGCATCATTCTCATCTTCCCTCCCTTATCACCCCTTCCTCTCTCCATCCATTATCCTTCTCCTCGACCCCCTACTACTAATACTACTACTGCTGCTACTACTACTACTACTACTACTACTACTACCACTACTATTACTACTACTACTACTACTACTACTACTACTACTACCACCACTACTACTACTACTACTACTACTACTACTACTACTACTACTACTACTACTAAGACGACGACGACGACGACGACGACTACTACTTTGGTGACCATTACTTCAAATACTACTAACACTACTAGCACAACTACGACTTCTACTACTACTACTACTACCACCACTACTACTACTACTACTACTACTACTACTACTACGGCTGCTACTACTGCTGCTACTACTACTTACTACTACTGATAATAGTTACTCTACTACTTAATACTACTACGACTTACTTTACTATTACTACTACGACTAGACTACTATACTGTTTTTTGTTGTACTACTACTACTACTACTACTACTACTACTACTACTTCTACTACGACTACTACTACTACTACTACTACTACTACTACTACTACTACTACTACTCACTACCTACCTACCTACCTACCGACCTACCTACGTACCTACCTACCTACCCACCTACCTACCTACGATTACGAAAACGACTAAGAATACGAATGCGAAAACTACCATTTCTATTGCTACTACTACTACTACTACTACTACTACTACTACTACTACTACTACTACTACTACTACTACTACTACTACTACTACTACGAGGGTCACACTTGACTCATTAACGGGGAGGTTCGGGTTTGCTGGTTCGTCAGCCTTGGGTCTCGGTATCCGCGGCTACGGCCGCTGGCAGGGCTTTGCATATTGAGCGTGATCTGTTGCCGTCTTTCGACTCTGCCTGGACACCTCGGGCGTGGCACTTCTGGCGTGGGTTGAAAAAGCTAGCTGATCATTCGTTGCGCCGTGCCAAGCGTGCCATTTCCTTGGGGGAACTGGTGAAGGCACTGAGCGCTCGCGTCGCGCAGGGCTCTCCCGCTGGTACTCGGGGCGCTGCTATGGCCGCCCTCTCGCTGAAGTTCAAGCGCTACGGCTTGGAGACGTTGAGGACCAAGGCGCGGCCATCCAGTGCAGGACTCGGCGTCAGAAGAACGATCCCTTCGGCGAGGGCTTGCTCGTTTGGATTCCAGAGTTGCCGTCTTTGGAACTCTTGCCCCGCGAGGCTACTCCGGGCCTGGCAGGCGCTGAGAGCAGCGCTGAGAGGGCAGGTTGACGGAGTTCTGTTTTGTGTCACCGGCGTGGACGCTTTGAAGCCCGTCCCCGCGGATTCCTTCAGGCTCATGCTATCGCGCCACCTGCACGACGCCAGGGAGGCTGGGCCTCTTTGGATGCGATGCGAAAATTCCACACGAAATGTTCCTCAGAGGCCCGCAAGCAGCGCCTTGTGGAAGCCGCCCTGTCTGCGAATTCGCAGGTGGCCCAGCCGGCGAACCGCTCGCCGAACCTGGGCGAGCTCCCGGCGTGGCGCCGCCCGGTCTGAAGCGTTGCCTTGTCGTAGCGAGATTGGAAAGCTCATCCGCCCGCCACTCTCTGAGGCGACGCCGGTGCATATCGGACTCGCGTTCCGCGCGCGCCTCCTGGACTGCGGGCCTCTACGGGGTTGGTGGCCGCCCCTCGTCGGGCGCGCTGCCGTGGCCCGCGACAGGTGCAGCACCCCCAATTGAGCCACGGCCAGTGGCAAGCGGATTTTACTGCACACGCTTCGCGTTGCATTGTTCGCCGCGGTTTTTGGCCCCCTGTGCGGCCTCCGAAAAACTGCGGGGTTTGCCCTGCGGTGTGATGCGGAAAGCGTAGTTTCTGAGGAGGCTATGCATTCGGGAAACGAAGGGTTCGCGGACACCCCGTTTTCTACCTTCCATCCTCTCTTCCTTGCCTCTACGCGCGCAGGCCCGGGGGGTGGTGCCGCGCGCTTGCGGTCCCTCCCGCCCGCCCTGTGTGGCGCGACGTGCTGGTCACAATCCGCTCCCTCTTGGAGGGTTGGTGGCCGCCCCTCGTCGGGCGCGCTGCCGCGGCCTGCGACAGGTGCAGCACCCCCAATTGAGCCACGGCCAGTGGCAAGCGGATTTTATTGCACACGCTTCGCGTTGCATCGTTCGCCGCGGTTTTTGGCCCCCTGTGCGGCCTCCGAGAAACTGCGGGGTTTGCCCTGCGGCGCGATGCGGAAAGAGCCCTTTCCCCGCCCCCCGCCCCGCGGAGCGGAGCGACAGACTCCCCGCTCGCAGGGCGCAGGCGCGTCGCCAGGACCGCTGCCGCGGCGGCGCGCTGGGCAGCGGCTCTCGGGCAGGGAGAGCACGCGACGCCAGTTGGCTTAAGTCGGGCCTGTCCCTCTACAGGGGGGATACTCAAAAATAGCCAAAAAAATAGCCTGGGGACGATTATGCTGATTATTTGTAAGCATTCGGGGTGCATGTTTTGAACATGTTTTATGCTTCGCCCAAAATCCCCTTGTGGGAGGGCACGCCCGACTTAACGCTTGGCTCCATCTGCGAGAGTACAAGCGTGGAGACTGGGCAATCGCAAGCCGGACGCGGGACGGAGGACCCCGCGACCCGTTCGCTTGGCACGCTCAGTCCCCTTGCTGTCCGCCGCTGAGGACAGGTCAAGGGCGCGCCTCGCTCGGGCTCGAGCCAGGGCAGCAGTGGCATCCCACAGGACAGCCCTCTCAGCTGGGTGGGTGCACGATTCTTCCCGAGCAATCTCCGCCGCCCTCCCCGCGGGCGTGACCAAGTGAATTGCCAGCATATTTCGATCGGCGAGCGCCCCGCGACGGGGTAGAGGAGGAGCAGGCCGGAGCTCCCTAGGGGGCCACGAAGCGCGTGAGGGGTGTGCCACAATGGGGCGGCCCCGCCATGCGGATTGCGCCAGTGGGACCTTAGGTGGAGCTCCTTATGGGGCCACGAAACGTGTGATGGGGTGTGCCAAGATGGGGCGGCGCCGCCATGCGGACTGCGCCAGTGGGGCCTTGGATGGAGCTCCCTATGTGGCCACGAAACGTGCGAGGGGTGTGCCAAGATGTGGCGGCGCCGCCATGCGGACTGCGCCACTGGGACCTTAGGTGGAGCTCCTTATGGGGCCACGAAACGTGTGATGGGGTGTGCCAAGATGGGGCGGCGCCGCCATGCGGACCGCGCCACTGGGACCGTAGGTGGATCTCCCTAGGGGGCCACGAAGCGTGTGAGGGGTGTGCCACACTGAGGCGGCGCCGCCATGCGGACGGCGCCACTGGGACCTTAGGTGGAGCTCCTTACGGGGCCACGAAACGTGTGAGGGGTGTGCCAAGATGGGGCGGCGGCGCCAAGCGGACGGCGCCTTTGGGACCTTGGGTGGAGCTCCCTTCCGTGGCCACGAAACGTGAGAGGGGTGTGACGAAGACGATGACGATGATGGTGATGATGACGGTGATGTTGATGATCACGGCCATGATGATGATGATGACGACGGCCATGATGATGATGATGATGTTGATGATGATGACGATGATGATGATGGTACTGGTACTGATGATGATGTTGATGATGATGGCGGTGGTGGCGATGATGATGATGATGGTGATGGTGATCGTGATGATGATAATTATGATGATGATGATGATCACGATGATCATGATGGTGATGTTGATGATGACGATGATGATGACGATGACGAGGACGATGATGATGACGACGATGATGATACTGATGATGGGAGGAGGAGGAGGAGGCGGAGGAGGAGGAGGAGGAGGAGGGACTCTGGCACACTGCGGTGCAGGTTGTCGCCCGCCTCGCGCGTCTCCGTGGGCTACCGCGCCGATGACAAGCGAGGGGGAGATATTCAGAGGAGGGACAAGAGATTAGGCAAGCCGACGCCAGCCGCGCCAGAGGGCAGAGAGCAGCCATGACCATGGGCGAGTACAACCAGAAGTGGCAGGCAGCCACAACTAACGCAATGCTTCGTGCCACGCCTGGCTATTCGCCAGCGTGGCAGTGCGGGCCACCGCAGCTCT